AGGATGTGTGATGTCACCGTGGTTGTTTAATATATTTATAGATGGGGTTGTAAGAGAAGTAAATGCGAGGGTCTTGGCAAGAGGCGTGGAGTTAAAAGATGAAGAATCACACATAAAGTGGGAGTTGTCACAGTTGCTCTTTGCTGATGACACTGTGCTCTTGGGAGATTCTGAAGAGAAGTTGCAGAGGTTGGTGGATGAATTTGGTAGGGTATGCAAAAAAAGAAAATTAAAAGTGAATACAGGAAAGAGTAAGGTTATGAGGATAACAAAAAGATTAGGTGATGAAAGATTGGATATCAGATTGGAGAGAGAGAGTATGGAGGAGGTGAATGTATTCAGATATTTGGGAGTGGACGTGTCAGCGGATGGGTCTATGAAAGATGAGGTGAATCATAGAATTCACAGTAAAAGTAGGCCTTAGACAAGGATGTGTGATGTCACCGTGGTTGTTTAATATATTTATAGATGGGGTTGTAAGAGAAGTAAATGCGAGGGTCTTGGCAAGAGGCGTGGAGTTAAAAGATGAAGAATCACACATAAAGTGGGAGTTGTCACAGTTGCTCTTTGCTGATGACACTGTGCTCTTGGGAGATTCTGAAGAGAAGTTGCAGAGGTTGGTGGATGAATTTGGTAGGGTATGCAAAAAAAGAAAATTAAAGTGAATACAGGAAAGAGTAAGGTTATGAGGATAACAAAAAGATTAGGTGATGAAAGATTGGATATCAGATTGGAGAGAGAGAGTATGGAGGAGGTGAATGTATTCAGATATTTGGGAGTGGACGTGTCAGCGGATGGGTCTATGAAAGATGAGGTGAATCATAGAATTGATGAGGGGAAAAGGGTGAGCGGTGCACTTAGGAGTCTGTGGAGACAAAGAACTTTGTCTTTGGAGGCAAAGAGGGGAATGTATGAGAGTATAGTTTTACCAACGCTCTTATATGGGTGATAAATGTTGCAGCGAGGAGAAGGCTGGAGGCAGTGGAGATGTCATGTCTGAGGGCAATGTGTGGTGTGAATATAATGCAGAGAATTCATAGTTTGGAAGTTAGGAGGAGGTGTGGGATTACCAAAACTGTTGTCCAGAGGGCTGAGGAAGGGTTGTTGAGGTGGTTTGGACATGTAGAGAGAATGGAGCGAAACAGAATGACTTCAAGAGTGTATCAGTCTGTAGTGGAAGGAAGGCAGGGTAGGGGTCGGCCTAGGAAAGGTTGGAGGGAGGGGGTAAATGAGGTTTTGTGTGCAAGGGGCTTGGACTTCCAGCAGGCATGCGTGAGCGTGTTTGATAGGAGTGAATGGAGACAAATGGTTTTTAATACTTGACGTGCTGTTGGAGTGTGAGCAAAGTAACATTTATGAAGGGATTCAGGGAAACCAGCAGGCCGGACTTGAGTCCTGGAGATGGGAAGTACCGTGCCTGCACTCTGAAGGAGGGGTGTTAATGTTGCAGTTTAAAAACTGTAGTGTAAAGCACCCTTCTGGCAAGACAGTGATGGAGTGAATGATGGTGAAAGTTTTTCTTTTTCGGGCCACCCTGCCTTGGTGGGAATCGGCCAGTGTGTTAAAAAAAAAAAAATTATTCTTTTTTTGTTCCCTTTGCCTTTATACAAAGGAACTATACATGCTTTCTGTCAATCCCTAGGTACCTTACCCTCTTCCATACATTTATTAACCCTTTCAGGGTCCGTGCCATTGATCTACGGCTTTACATTCAGGGTCCAAACCGTAGATCTACGCCATGAGCTCAGCTCACTCTGATAAGCTGTGAGCAGTAAATTTTGGCCTAGATATGAGAGAATGCATCTATGTGGTATGTGTGCACCACATAAAACAAGTCCTGTAGCACACAGTGCATAATGAGAGAAAAAACTGAGACCGTAATTTTCGATTAAAACAGCGACTTTGCAGTGTTTTTTCGTATATTTTATATAGTTGTATTTACAATTTCTTGGTCTCATTTGATAGAATTGAAGATGTACTACAGAAATAGAGATGATTTTGATTGAAAATGGCTTGAAACTGAGCTCAAAGTAGCAGAAATGTTAAATTTTTGCTGATGTTCAAGAGTAAACAAATGACCTCGCAAGTCTAATACATGCCAGCTGGTGGGTCTCATATATATTCACAAATGTGGTGATATTATTTATACAATTATTACAGTATTGCATAACAGTAAATCTTCTATTTTTTTGATTTGAATAAAAATTCATTATGTGAATAAAAAATCAAAATGGAATTCATTTGTAAAGCCTGAAAACGTAACTAATGAACAGAGGAAATATTAGTTTAGTGCCAGGAAGGCCTGCATTGTTTATTCTGGGCCCTATTTTGAAATGGGAATATTTTGAACTTTGTATTAACCCTTTGATGGTCGACAGGCCCTCTCTGAGACTCGTTCTCAGGGTCGGCCAAATTTAAAAAAAAAAAAAATTCTTATGAAAAGATAGAGAATCTTTTTCCGATCATAATGAGACCAAAAGTATGGAATTTGATGGAAAACTTATGGAATTATGCTCTCGCGAAGTTAGCGGTCTCAGCGATGTTTGCGCATAGGCGATTTTGCCCACTTTGAGCCCCATTTTCGGCCAATTCCACTCTACTAGTCGACAGAAAACATGAATGTTTCACTAGAACTCCATTTTTTCTATCGAATGAGTGCAAGAAACCACCCATTTACCAATTTCAACTATGCAGTACAGTGGTCAGAATTTAGCAATTTTGCCAATTTCACACAAATTTCAAAAGATGCCAATTTCCAAATAGGGTCCAGAATAAACAAGAAAGACATTTCTGGCACTAAAATAACATTTCCTCTGTTCATTAGTCACGTCTCAAGGCCCCTCTTACATTCTTTTGCTTTCCACTTTGAATTTTTATTCTCACAAAAAATAGAAGATTTACTGTTATGCAGACAGTGTAAAAAATGGTATAAATAATATTGGCGCACTTGCGAAAGAATATTAGACTCACCAGTTGACGTGTATTGGATGCTTGGCATGTTTTGTTTACTTTTGAACTTTCATAAAAATCGAACATTTCTGCTACTTTGAGCTCAATTTCAAGGTACTTTTCATTGTAAAACCAGTCAAAATCATCTCAATTTCTGTAATATGTCTTCCATTCTATAAAATGAGACCAAGAAAACTAGAATACAACAATAAATACCATACGAAACAGTCAAATTTTTTTTTTCTCATGCACTGTGTGCTGCAGGATTTTTTTTATACTGTGCACACTGACCACATAGACCCATTCTTTCATATGTAGGCCTACCAGCTTTTTCTCACTAGATTTGAGGGCACTAGAATTTAGGCGTACTAGTACGTCAAAAACCCTGGGTCGTAAGCTGTACTAGTACGGCTGAAACCCCCAAAGGGTTAAAGTGGCCAAATTTCCAATTTCCAATCACTTTATTTTGTTGTTGAAACAGTTGACTTGGCGATTTCTTGTGCTCAGTCGAGAGAATAGAAGTAATACTAGTGAAATAGCTAAGAATTTGGTTGACTGGAATACTGTATTTGGCCTAAAATGGGAGTCAAAGTCAGCTAAATTGCTGATGCCTAAATATCACCTACACATCAAAATTCGCGAGAGCATAATTTCATCAATTTTCCATCAAATTTTGTACTTTTTGTTTTATTACCTTCAGAAAAAGATTCTCTACCATTTCATAAGAAAAAATAAAAAAATTATTTTTTGAAAATTCTTGGACCCTGGAGCACGCTTTGAAATTTGGCCTCTGGACCCTGAAAAGGTTAAATAAAAGCACCAACTATTCCAAAACTATATCTCCACCTGCTTTTAACATTTCTGTCTTTATCGCATCAATCCCAGGTGCTTTACCCCCTTTCATTCTGTCCAATGCCTCCTGCACCTCCCCCACACTCACAACTGGCTCTTCCTCACTCCTGCAAGATGTTATACCTCCCTGCCCATTGCATGAAATCACGGCTTCCCTATCTTCATCAACATTAACAGTTCCTCAAAATATTCCCTCCATCTTCCCGATACCTTGTTCTCTATCTAATAATTCTCCTATTCTGTTTTTAAATGTCAGATCCATTTGTTTCCTAGGCTTTCTCAACTTATTAATCCCATTCCAAAATGTTTTCTTATTCTAAACAAAATTTATTGATAGAATCTCACCTACCCTCTCTCATTTGCTTTCCTTTTACATTCCTTTACCACTCTCTTAACCTCTCTTTTTCTTTCCATATACTCCTCCCTCCTTGTATCATTTCTACTTTGTAAAAACCTCTCATATACTAACTTTGCTAGAAGTGTTTTTGTTTTTTGGGCCACCCTAAGTGGGAGATGGCTGGCATGATGAAAAAAAAAAAAGAGGCTTGGGTTTTAAACATTGCTGGAGGTAGTGATTTCATTTATGAGAACAATGTGTGGTATGCATATGATGCAGAAAATTTGGAGCATAGAAATTTGAAAGAAGCATTGAATTATGAAAGCTGTAAGTTAGAGGGTAAAAAAATGGGTTGTTGTGGTAGTTGTCTTTTAAAAAGAGTGGAGCAAAATAGGATAGTGAAGTGTTTATAAATCCAAAGTGTAAAGAGGTGTATGGAGTCATCCCAGAAAGGGTTGTAGGGAGGGTGTGAAGGATTTTTAAAGTGATAGGGGGCTTGAGCACCCAGTAGGCATGTTTGAACATGTTAGATCATAATGAGTGAGGACAAGGTTTTTGATTGGAAATACTGTTGAAGTGTGAGTGGGTAAAATTTATAAAGGGATTTAAGGTGAGAAGTACAGTGGCTGTACTGTGAAGGAAGGGTAGGAATGTTAAATATTTGGAGAATTATTTGAATTGTGATGCCCCTCCACTTCTGAGAAGATAACTATTGTTTCCTTTCTTTTGGGTTGCCCATACTTTGTGTGGGAAAGGGCCAGTGTGGCAACTAAAATCTTTATTTTAATGGAAGTTAAAAAAAATACTGTCAGGCATTCTGATATTGTTTGTGTAATAATATCACTCATCTTTTTATCCTCAGGAATTGGCAAGCTTTTGTGTGAAGGATGGTCTGTGCTACCCTGGTGTAACTCCTGAACATCTTAGAGGCTCACTCTTACCTTTTGTAGAGTGTGGCACACTTGTGCGCAGGTATTTCAGCATTAAGAAGTTATTATCCTTGACACATTTTTTTTTTCCTTTTACATTATTGGCTGTCTCTTGCCATAGTAAACTGACCCAAAAAAAGACACGTTTATCATCACTAATTCAACGGTTGTCTTGCCAGAAGTGTCCTGACATCACAATTCATATTACATTGCGACTGAAAGATTCTCACCCCTCCTTCAGAGTGCAGGCACTACTCTTTCCATTTCCAGGACTTTAATCCAGCCAACTGGTTTCCCTGAAACCTTTCATAAATGTTACCAGTCTCACACCCCATCAGCACCTCAATCATTTAAAACCATGTGTCCCCACTCGCCCTGATCTAGCATGCTCAACAAGCATGCTGAATGCAGAAGCCCCTAACACTCAAAATCTCCATTACCTACTGTCTTTTCAACTATTTCTGGAGATGGATAAAGACACAGATGCAGTACAATGTGGTCCTTTATTGACAACATTTTGGCCACACATTGGGCTTTATCAAGTCACAAACAAATCTGCCTGGGAAGAGGATGTGTATATACACAGTGGAGGATTATAATTCACAGTGGTTATGTTCTTGAAAGCTGCACTACTAATGATTTCCATCATTTATGGACTGAAAAAAGTTTGGTAAAATGGGATTATGTTCTTCAGACCTCCAAGAGATCTGTTACAAATTTTTTGGGGTCATAAAATTAATAGTTTTTCTGACCTAACATTGTCAATGAAGATGCTGTGTGAAATACCTGACGTCTAGTGAGATTCAGATAGTTAAAAGAAAGTACATTAGCTAGAAAATGATTACATTAATACCATACATTATTTGTTACTTACCCTGAGTTAAGTTCAGGATGCTGAACGTTTAGTAGAGAGGATGGCTGTGACCCTATTCCTCATTCTTTTTACTGTGTCACACTTAGGATTACATATTGCATAAGCCCTTATCTTTGCCTCATTGTCTAGAATTGATGATGCTAAATGCTCTTGCCCAATGTATGATGCATGCACCACCCTTCAGCATTTATCTCCAGTTTTTTTGTAATAGGTTTAGTTTCACGCTTAATCTTGCTTTGCCTGCACTTTGTTTGGAAACCATGATAAATATCCTGAAATGAGATGGGGCAATGAAAAGAAGGAAAAACATGTGCACTGTGCTAGAATTGGGCAGTATGCGTCCAGATACACTGACCTGTGTGGAAGGTTGGTTTGTTTACATCTCATCACCCCCCTCCCCCCCCCCCCACACACACACACACCCTTCCCTGCAGTGTTAGGACAGTTGAGATGCCTAATGTGTGTTGGGGAAGTCTCAGGCCTGCCTACCACTGCACTTAACAGAAATGCGCATCAACAGTGGTAAAAAAATCTACTCTGGTACTCCTTAAAGGAAATGTGCTACCATTGGAAATGAATTTGGCTTCCTTGTGCCTTAATGGAAATGGGTGCACTTCTGTTAGAAAAGAAAACCTAAATTAAATTGCATAATATTGAAAATGCAAGTTATGATAATGTAACTTAAGGTTTTTCTACTGTAAAGAGAACATAGTGACATGAAGAGTCAGGTGAAATATGTTGAACCTTACATCTTGGGTAACAGATTGGACAGATATATGGCTTGAAAGAGGTTGAATTCAAGAAGGACCTGCATAGCTTGGGCCAGTAGTCCTGCTGTATTGTCCCTCTCAACTTGTCTGACCTGCTGCTGTGTGAGATAACAAGCAAGAACCTTCCTGGCAAGAGGCTTATCTATGTTGTTGAAGCCATTATTCTGGTTAAAGTTGTTTGATATGCTGATTAGTGAAGATTTGAGAATCCTGCATTTCGATGTGTCTTCTTTGACAATGAGTTACGCAAAATTTCCATAAGCGAGCAGTCCTCAAGGCAGGTTCCCTGATGCTGGTGAGGGGCTCTTGCTCTTGATCTAGGGAACTGTATCTCATTTGTTTGTTGGGCTATCTTATTGAAACTTGGGCAATGTATGATGGAAAGATGTTTCTTAACTTACACCAAAAATGAAAGAAATCAGAGCATAAATAATGGAGTTCACTTCTCAGCAATTAGCCACCCCTTAGTGGTATTTTTGTATGGTTTTTATGGTTGTATTCTCATTTTTTTGGTCTCATTTGATAGAATGAAAGATATATTACAGAAATAGATATGATTTTGACTGATTTCACGATGAAAAGCACCTTGAAATTGAGCTCAACATAGGAGAAATGTTCCATTGCTTGGCTATGTTCAAGAGTACACAAATGACATCACTGTCCATTCCAATATGCAGCAGTGAATGGGTTGACATTATTTATACAATTATTGTAATAAGGCATAACAGCAAATCTTATATTTTTTGTGTGAATAAAAATTACAAATCATTTACATTGTAATAATAATAATAATATGTATAATAACCTAGGTAGTAGGTTGGTAAACAGCAACTGCCCAGGGAGGTACTACCGTCCTGCCAAGTGAGTGTACAACGAAAACCTGTAATTGTTTTACATGATGGTAGGATTGCTGGTGTCTTTTGTCTGTCTCATAAACATGCAAGATTTCAGGTATGTCTTGTTACTTCTACTTACACTTAGGTCACACTACACATACATGTACAAACATATATATACACACCCCTCTAGGTATTCTTCTATTTTCTTTCTAGTTCTTGTTCTTGTTTATTTCCTCTTATCTCCATGGGGAAGTGGAACAGAATTCTTCCTCCGTAAGCCATGCGTGTTGTAAGAGGCGACTAAAATGCTGGGAGCAAGGGGCTAGTAACCCCTTCTTCCGTATAAATTACTAAATTTAAGAGAAACTTTCGTTTTTCTTTTTGGGCCACCCCGCCTCGGTGGGATACGGCTGGTGTGTTGAAAGAAAGAAGACATATAATAATAATAGTATAATAACATAATACAATAATAATAATAATTATGTAATACATGTTATACTAATATTTTATTTATTATCACACCGGCCGATTCCCACCAAGGCAGGGTGGCCCGAAAAAGAAAAACTTTCACCATCATTCACTCCATCACTGTCTTGCCAGAAGGGTGCTTTACACTACAGTTTTTAAAACTGCAACATTAACACCCCTCCTTCAGAGTGCAGGCACTGTACTTCCCATCTCCAGAACTCAAGTCCGGCCTGCCGGTTTCCCTGAATCCCTTCATAAATGTTACTTTGCTCACACTCCAACAGCACGTCAAGTATTAAAAACCATTTGTCTCCATTCACTCCTATCAAACACGCTCACGCATGCCTGCTGGAAGTCCAAGCCCCTCGCACACAAAACCTCCTTTACCCCCTCCCTCCAACCCTTCCTAGCCGACCCCTACCCCGCCTTCCTTCCACTACAGACTGATACACTCTTGAAGTCATTCTGTTTTCGCTCCATTCTCTCTACATGTCCGAACCACCTCAACAACCCTTCCTCAGCCCTCTGGACAACAGTTTTGGTAATCCCGCACCTCCTCCTAACTTCCAAACTACGAATTCTCTGCATTATATTCACACCACACATTGCCCTCAGACATGACATCTCCACTGCCTCCAGCCTTCTCCTCGCTGCAACATTCATCACCCACGCTTCACACCCATATAAGAGCGTTGGTAAAACTATACTCTCATACATTCCCCTCTTTGCCTCCAAGGACAAAGTTCTTTGTCTCCACAGACTCCTAAGTGCACCACTCACTCTTTTTCCCTCATCAATTCTATGATTCACCTCATCTTTCATAGACCCATCCGCTGACACGTCCACTCCCAAATATCTGAATACGTTCACCTCCTCCATACTCTCTCCCTCCAATCTGATATTCAATCTTTCATCACCTAATCTTTTTGTTATCCTCATAACCTTACTCTTTCCTGTATTCACCTTTAATTTTCTTCTTTTGCACACCCTACCAAATTCATCCACCAATCTCTGCAACTTCTCTTCAGAATCTCCCAAGAGCACAGTGTCATCAGCAAAGAGCAGCTGTGACAACTCCCACTTTGTGTGTGATTCTTTATCTTTTAACTCCACGCCTCTTGCCAAGACCCTCGCATTTACTTCTCTTACAACCCCATCTATAAATATATTAAACAACCACGGTGACATCACACATCCTTGTCTAAGGCCTACTTTTACTGGGAAAAAATTTCCCTCTTTCCTACATACTCTAACTTGAGCCTCACTATCCTCGTAAAAACTCTTCACTGCTTTCAGTAACCTACCTCCTACACCATACACTTGCAACATCTGCCACATTGCCCCCCTATCCACCCTGTCATACGCCTTTTCCAAATCCATAAATGCCACAAAGACCTCTTTAGCCTTATCTAAATACTGTTCACTTATATGTTTCACTGTAAACACCTGGTCCACACACCCCCTAATAATAATAATATATAATAATAATATATAATATACTAATAATACATATATAATAATAATGTACTACATAATAATAATTATAATAATAGACGGCTTCAAAAAGGCCGTCACTAGATGTGTTTACCACAACAAAGAGGGAGCGGTTGTGGCAGCTTCCACCTGTTAAGTAATGCAATATTTTATTCATTCTAGAGTATATATCAGGTTTCTATATTATTTATGTTGTTTATTATTTCATATTAGATGAACTGTGATAGATAAATAAGCCGTAGAGTTGATGATAGCGAAATATTCAAGGAGTATTTTGTCCTGTCTCCAGGCAAACACTCATTGGTCGCCACTGCCACATATATAATGACATATTCTATTCATTCTAGAGTATATATCAGGTTTCTATGTTATTTATATTGTTTGTTGTATCATATTAGATGAACTTTGATAGATAAATAAGCCATATAGATGATATTAGCGAAATTATTCAAGAAGTATTTTGTCCGGTCTCCAGACAAACTCTCGTCCACTGCCGACACCACCCATACCACTACGTGAATTACATATTTTATTAATTTTAGGGTATAAATCATATTTCTATGTTATTTATATTGTTTATTATGTCAGATTAAGTGAG